AATTTTCAAAATCCGACACCAAAAATGTTTTCGAAAATCAGTTATGACTATAAAGTGTTTTGTATACCAATCACCTAATCTTAGATCGGTGAGTACTATGTGGATTTGGGTACCAAAAATGACTAACACCCACAGGCCCCGCCCTGGGCAAGTGCAGGCTGGGCCCTTGCCCAGGGCCCACGCTTGGAAGGGCCCCCAACCCACCACAATATGTTTTACTTATACTCTAGATTTATTGGATAAGTATTTAATTTACAGCTCACTTAGTAAATTGTTAGTTAGCTTAGTTAGTAAGGTTTCTTGTATAGATGTTAAAAGTTCTTGGGGTTAAATCCTTACACATTCATTTAAAGAGAAAATTTCAATTTTGGTCATATGACTATAGTGGCTTTGTTAATTTCAACACTTGGACTTTTAAAAGTGTTAATTTAGTACCTTGACTATATAATTTTTATCAATTTTGGTCACTCCTGTCAAATTGTCAGCCAAATTTTGTCAAAAAATTTAACAGTTAAAATAATGAGGATATTTTAGTCATTTCACATCTCTTCAATCATTTTCCCCATTATTTTAAATGTTAAAATTTTCCGGCAAAATTTGGCCGGTAATTTGACCGGAGTGACCAAAATTGATAAAAATTACATAGTCAAGGTACTAAATTGACACTTTTGAAAGTCAGGTACTGAAATTAACAAAGCCCCTATAGTCATATGACCAAAATTGAAATTTTCTCTGCATTTAAATTATTAAATTTCACCCTCTACTATTTAGATTTGAAGATGAATTTAGATATGTTATAATCTAGTATTAAAATTGGAGTGAATTTCATTTTTGGTCCTATTATTATAAGGGTTTTTTCAATTTTAGTCCACCATAATTATTTTTGCCACATTGCGCCCACTATTATTAAATGTGTTCCAATTTTAGTCCATTTTAAGATTTTTCGTGGACTAAAATTGGAACACTTTTAATAATAGTGGACGCAATGTGGCATAAATAATTATGGTGGACTAAAATTGGAATGACCCCTATAACAGTAGGACCAAAAATGGAATTCACTCATTAAAATTGTTACTTATGAAATTTATTTCTATTTTTAAAAAATTTATAACTGTGAATTTTTTTTTTTTACCTTTCTATAATTATAGTGAGATTTATACTATAGATCGAAAAATATTTTAAAAGATAGTTACTTTTTTTATGAATTATCTAGTTAATTTAGTTTAGAAGTTCTATTGTTTGTCATCGTATTTAAATTAGTCTAGAAAAATTTGAAATTGATATAACTAAAAGAAAAAGTATTTATAAATATGATATCAATATAGAAGATATGTGAAAAATAATGTGTTTTTTATTCGAACTATTTTATTAAATTAATTGTGTTTCATATTTTATTTTGAATATATCACATTTAAAGTGTTCTGATTTATTATTCTCAATAATTAATATTTCATGATCTGCTCTTGTTTATAAGTTTTGTTTTATAAATTTTTAATAATAATTACTTTATTATTTATTATTTTAATAATGTGACTGCGTATAAATTATAATTGTTTATTTATGAAGGCACTGATGCAGTTATTGATTATTTTAGATTTAGAAAAACATCTAAAATTATTTTCATGTGTATGTAAAATTGTTTTTAAAAAAAATAAATCTTATTTCAAGTTATTTGACATTAGTATTTTCATTATTTAATTTAAATTTTAGTTATAAAAATGTACTCGCTCTGTCCCATTTTGTCTGTTCTACTTACTATTCATTGGTCAAACCAACTCTTTCTTCTTTGTTTATTTTTTTTAGTATACTTTACTTATTTTAATTTTTTTGTTTGTTGTGTTTAATTGTACGTTTAGTGTAGTTTTTAAATATATAAATTTTGTATATTAATACTAAACTTAATATTATGAAAAATTGAAGTAAAAATAATTTTAGTCAAGCCTCGTTAATCGAATCAGACATATACAATGGAACAGAATGAGTATATTAATTTCATGTTGGGCCCATTTTTGTTGCTACGCCTCGAGCCTATAAAATGATAGGACCGGGCCTGAACACCCAAGGGCCCAAATCATGTTGGGTACCTAAAAATGTGTAAATTATTTGCAAGAAATATGGTACTTCGATAGTAGATGTTCTAGACACATGACTGGAAATAAGTCTAGTTTTGTGAATCTTAAAAATATCGAAAAACCAAAAGTCGTATTTGGTGGAAATGAACGATTTGGCATAACCAAAGGTGTTGGTACAATATCCCGCAATACTAAAACATCCACTATCGAAGTACTAGAAACTTTTTTTTTTTTTGTTTGATACATTTTTTTAAGAACATGAAAATAAATCTTTTATATAATTATTTCTTATAAAATATTAGTAATTACTCTAATGATGATAATAATTATCATTTATATTAAAATAGAATATGCAATAGTTATAATGATTAAAATTAATCATACTAAAATTATGTAAATAGATCATTTTTAACTTGTAACTTGTTATAATAAAATAAATACATAAAATAATAAATATAATAATTTTGAACTAATAAAATTGAATAAAATTTTTATACACGTTCATTGATAATATATATTCTTGTATAAAATCTACTTTTCAGTTTCATTTTTCTTACACAATATATTCATTATAACAATGCTAAAGTATCAACTTTTTTTTTTTTACAATTCAAGCTTATTTGACATTATATAACATGTAGTCTTCTATAAATTTGTATGAGCTATCATTTTTAAATTTATTTTCTACACAATAAATTCATTATAACAATGTTGAAGTATCATTTTAATTGCATTTCAGGTTCATTTGACAATATAAGTTCTTGAATGAGCTCTACTTTTCAAGTCCATTTTTTCATACACAATAGATTCACTATAGCAACGTTGAAGTATCATTTTTGCTATACTTTAAGTTCATTTGACATTATATAACATGCAGTGTTCTATAAATGATCATTTACTCTTGACATGTTCTTAAGATGAAATTGCAGTGTTCTACATTGTAATGATCTTACTACATTTCATTAGCATTTAGCGTTATGAACTTTTAGATCTTCTATGAAATATTGTCTATGTTTTTTTTTAAATACATTTTAGTAAGGAATGGAACATTATTTATATGATAACAATATTATCACCTTAATAAAACTTTATACTTGCAACAATGGCGTCGGAAAGAAAAAACAAAGCTGCTTGGAGATGTAACATTGGTATGTTGAAGAAGCCAAAGGTTTCTTGTTTGTTTTTATATTTAAAAAAATAATGCACATTGTTGATAGGCTATTCGTTCATGGTAACGGCAATTGTTTCTTTTATTGAAAGAAACACCATCATATTAGACTTAGGAGTGATCGTGATTTCGGTTTTAATTTGGTTCCAGTTTGGAACTACCGGTTCCGATTATGCAAATAGTTAAATCATAACCGAAACCTTATATTAAGGTTCCGGTTCCGGTTGAAACCGCTGGTTCTAACCGGCAATTTCTTTTCTTTCTTTTTTTTTTTTTTTAGTTTGTAAGTGTCTACCTAAGCTTTATTTTATTATTAGTATTTTTTTTTACGGTTTAGAATCGAAACAATCCGGTTCTGAACCGGAATCGACGGTCTGATTCGTTTATTACACAAACTTTAATCAAAATCTTATTGGTTCTGATTTTGGTTGTATAGTGTACAGTTTCAATTCGAACCGAACCGTGGTCACCCCTAATTGGACCTTGGTCCACACAATTATGGAGACCATGGTCCATCATATAACAATTGAGTAAATAGATGGTGGTTCAACTCGTCCATTTGACACCACTTAAATGGAGAGTGGGCAATTTATATCCTACACCACGGCGCGCGTTGCAATGCGCCCAGATGCAAAACGACGTCGTTTTATTTTTTTATTTTTTGAAATTTTTCGCCCCAGTGAATGGCAGTAGTTTTTTCTTTAAAAAAAAAAAAACCGCTGTTCAAGAATGTACATAATGTTATACTAGAATACACATAATTGTATACATGAATGTACATAATTATATAACAAAATATACATACTCTTTTTAAAAGATAATACACATAATCTAACATAATACATAATAAACATAAACTTTTAACATAATACACATCAACTATTAACATAATACACACAAATTTTCTGATTCGGATGTACATAATTGTATAAAAAGAATGTACATAATTGTATAAAAAATGTACATAACTGTATGAACCAATACACATAACTGTATGAACAAATACACATAACTGTGCGAACAAATACACATAATCCCAGCAACTTCCTACCGCGCCTCCCAAAACGACCTCAAAACGACGTCGTTTTGGGAGGCGCGCGGCGCACAGTGCTATGTGCGCCGTGGTGTAGGGTATAACGATTGGAGAAAGAGATAGAACTGAGCGAGACAAGAATCAAAAAAAAATATGTTTTGCGTAAAAAAGTCAAAAGATATTTTCTTTCAAAATGAACTAATTTTCCATTAACAGAAACGTATTTTTCGTTAGTAGCGAAACATTAAAAATTTTTAATAAAAAATAACTCCTAAGTATCAATTTTCAAGTTCCCAAACCAAACCTTAGTAAACAAAACTCATAACTTCTTCAATTAGCTGCTACACATTAAAGTATTAAACCAACAGCTTTCCACATTAATATTTTGTTTTTAGTTAGTTTTTTTTTTCCTTTTTTCTTTTTCTCCTTTGCTGTAGTTTACTCCCATAATCTTTATACTTAACTCCAGATCATCAAAATCCATCAAGAAATAAGGAATCAACAAATCTGAACACACCCTTTCGTTTTCATCTGTAAGAAGATTAAAAGGGAAACATATTACAGTCTTCACGGAAGATTTCAGGGTTTCAGAATGAGGGGAGAGGTAGAGGGGCGTGGGGGGGGGGGGGGTTGGTTTAGAGAGAGAAAGTGAGTGATGAGAGTCAACCAAACCTTTTCTGTGCTCTTTTGGATGTATGTATATGTAAGGCTTCGATGAGTCCACACATTGCGTATTATCTGCAAATCCCCTTTTTTCTCTTCGCTTTCTTTTCTGCTCGCTTTCTCTCTCCTTTGCAAAATTCAATAAACAAAGAACCCTTTTCCTCCTCTCTCTCTCTCTCCTCCTGTTTTTTGTTTTTAAAATATATTTCTGATTTCTGATTTACTTTTGTGTCTCATCAACAAAAGCCTATTTTCAAGCCAAGCATGCAGATAGATGCATAGCAGAAGCACAGAAATAAGGGTTTCGCGTCCCATTCTTTTGTACTAAAATACTAACAGAGAGAGAAAACTATGACATATATATATAGATATAGATATAGAGAGAGAGAGATTGAGAAGGAAGTGCAAAGCAGCTTGATTATTTCTCTCTTTTCTTCTCTTTAGTCAGAAGAGAAAAACAGGAGAGGAAGTTGGAGACATTTGGATTAGTCCTTGTGTCTCCTCTACCTCTCTATATTTTTCTCCTCACCATTTTCTTTCTTTGATTTTTGAGGGCAATTTTGCGTGTAAAACACCTACCTATCTCTCTCTTTGGTGCATCTCTGGGCTTGAAGACTATCCGAAATCCATCAATAATCAGGAAGAAAATAAAGAAAGAGAGGTGGAGGTTTGGTTTTCATGAATTTTGGGGGTTTTCTTGACAATAGTAGCGGCGGTGAGGGCGACGTCGTCGGCGGCGGTGCAAGAATCGTCGCCGATATACCTTACAACAATAACATGGCTAGCGGCGCAATAGCTCATCAGCCAAGCCTTGTTCCACACTCTCTTACAAAGTCCATGTTCAACTCTCCAGGACTCTCTCTTGGCCTTGTACATCTCTCTCTCTCTCTCTCTCTCTCTCTCTCTCTCTACTTCCATTCCTTTAAAAAAATAAATACTGATTCATGGTTTTGTAGAAAACGGGTATGGAGGGGCAAGGAGAGGTGGCGAGAGTGCCGGAGAGCTATGAAGCTAACAACAGTAACACTAATAATAACAGTGTTGGGAGAAGGAGCAGAGAAGAAGAGCCGGAGAGCAGATCTGGTAGCGATAACTTTGAGGGAGCCTCCGGCGACGATCAAGATGCCGCCGACGACAAGCCTCCCAGAAAGAAGAGATACCACCGACACACCCCTCAGCAAATCCAAGAACTCGAGGCGTAATGAAAATTTTTAACTTTTCAATCTTGCATTTCACCCAGACTAGATTTTGATTCCATCTTTTTTTTTCTGATTTTATAGTTTGTTTAAGGAGTGCCCTCATCCCGATGAGAAACAAAGGTCGGAGCTAAGCAAGAGACTTTGCTTGGAGACTAGGCAAGTCAAGTTTTGGTTCCAAAACCGTAGAACTCAGATGAAGGTATTAAATCAAAGGGAGTTTATGAATTTTTGGTTAGTTGATAGATGTTGAAAATTGAAGCACGTGCTCCATCTCAACTAAAAATTATTAAGCTATACACTACTGAAAATTATGAAATTTCCGACCACTTAAGTGATCTTAAATCAAGTAGAAAGTCTGTTCCGAACATTTTTTGTATCCGAAAAATCTTTTATCGCTATTTCCGACCACTTTTTTGTATCAACTTGATTTAAGATTGTAATCAGAAATTCCATAATTTCTAGTAGTGATAGTTAAATTGCACATTAATGGTTATATGCTTAACACTGAATAATTTGGTTTTGTTTGGTTGGAGCAGACACAACTGGAGCGGCATGAGAATTCGATACTTAGGCAAGAGAACGACAAGCTTAGAGCGGAGAACATGTCAATAAGGGAGGCGATGAGGAACCCAATTTGCAGCAACTGTGGTGGGCCGGCGATGATTGGGGAAATCTCACTGGAAGAGCAACATCTCCGGATAGAAAATGTGCGGCTCAAGGACGAGCTAGACCGCGTTTGCGCCCTGGCCGGAAAGTTTCTCGGCCGCCCCGTTTCATCACTGCCGAATATTAATTCAAGCTTGGAGCTTGGGGTTGGGAGCAATGGTTTTGGAGGCCTAACTGTGGTTCCCTCCATAGCTCCTCCTCCTCCTCCGCCACCGGACTACGGCGTTGCATTGCCGACAAGGCAAGGCTCCGGCGTGGGCATCGAGAGGTCACTGGAAAGATCTATGTACTTGGAGCTTGCTTTGGCGGCCATGGATGAGCTGGTGAAGGTAGCACAGACGGATGAGCCGCTTTGGGTGAGAGGCCTGGAAGGGGGTAGAGGGGAGGTGCTGAACCAAGAAGAGTACTTGCGGAGTTTTAGTCCTTGCATTGGGTTGAGACCCAGTGGATTTGTTTCTGAAGCTTCTAGGGAGACGGGCATGGTGATTATCAACAGTTTGGCTCTAGTGGAGACTCTAATGGACTGTGTAAGTATAGTAGTACACTGTACTGTTGAATGGTTTTTTATTTTTGTTGAGAAAATATGATAAAAAGGTATTTTGTTTGCATTATTGCAGGGGAAATGGGGTGAAATGTTTCCATGTTTAATCGCTAGAACCTCAACCACGGATGTGATATCCGGTGGGATGGGAGGCACCCGGAACGGTGCACTTCAACTGGTAATTCAAATAAAATCTCTCAAATTAATTAACCTAACCAAAAATGTGGATGGAATTCCCGAAATTAAACCAAATTGTTGGGCGGAGTCCGGTAAAGACAAGTCTAAGTCCCACACCATGCTAGGATATTATTGGGGAGATATTAGTAACGGATGCCATTAAGGCTTAGTCAAGTCCAGCACCATGTGACTAGAGAAACTATTAGACCGAGGCCAAGTTCAACACGTTGTATAGAAAGAAGAGAAATTATTTCGTCCCTAAGTTATATGGTAATTGTTGATTTCGTCATTTAAGTGTTGGTCCTGTTCACTTTCCATTCCGAAGTTATCATTGATGTTGTACTTTTCGTCCCTTTACTAATAAACATCAGAGACGAAATTTACAATTCTAGTATAATTCAGGGATTAAAAGTGAGCATGAAAGGACAAACAGTGCAATGTCAATAATAATTTAGGAATGAAAAATGGTCGTGACCAACCCTTAAAAGACGAATTTTATAATTATCCTATAATTTAAAGACGAAAAGTGCAATTTTTTCAAGAAATAAAGTTATAATCTTTGTAACTAGTTATAACTTTTAACATAATAATAGGTGTTTCTAACTGAATTTGTGGGATTCTGTTCAGATGTACGCGGAGCTCCAAGTTCTATCACCGTTAGTACCGATACGCAAAGTCAACTTTCTCCGCTTCTGTAAGCAACATGCGGAAGGGGTGTGGGCTGTGGTGGATGTGTCCATCGACGCCATCCGACAATCTTCCGCCGCACCCAACGCCGCTCGCCGACTCCCTTCCGGCTGTGTAGTCCAAGATATGCCTAATGGCTACTCCAAAGTAAGTTCTTTCTTCTTTTTTGCCCTATCCTTATTATACAATTTTTTAGGAAAATTATATTTTCATCATCACTACAGTCTTAGTTTATGAGTTATAAGTACTACTTTACAATGTAGTATCGATTAATATCTGTTTATAATGGCTCGAACCTACAACCTCCCACATAGGGGAGCAACTGATACGAGCAACTTGTTACCAGTGGACCACAGATCCTTAGTGCTTGATCATATTTAATCCATAAATTAGGAGTAAGTAGCGATTTTATCGTGAAAGACTAAATCGATTACTTCATCAAGTGACATATTGACATTATAAAAGATAAAATTTACAAAATGAATAAAAGGAAAGAATTGCGGGCTTTGGAATTTAGTAATATAAAATAGGGGCCATGCAACCATGAATTTCAATCACACAAAATAGTTGTATTGTTGGTGACAAATTTAAAAGTATATTATTTATGTATTAAATGTACATTATTTGATAATATAGTTTAAGAGATCATGGTAAATACTAAAATATAATAATGATTGCCTTATATTGCGCCTTGGGACACATTAATTTCATAGGATTTGGGATAAAAATATGGTATTGTAATCCGGACTCAATCTTAATAAACAATGTATATGATGCTTCTATTCCACTCTGAAAACCGACCCTTTCCCACATATATTTAATTCTGCTTAACTGGGTATTATCTGGTTCCAGGTTACTTGACCCCCCACCCCCCACCCCCCACCCCCAGTCCCCACCCTACCTTTTGAGTCAAATCCCAAGACTGACTACTATTATTATTACTCCGTATTATTTTGTTGTCACGTGAGCGCATCTAACCCATTTCTGTGTCTACCCTCTACTGCTTCATTTCTCGATGTGCCCCTCCAAATCTTGCAGTATTTTGTGTAACACATTTTTTCTTTTCACTATTTTGTGTCTTTCTTGGTCATACCTTAACCCTATTTCCAAAATTTGTCTAGATTCCTTGGAATTTTTAAAATAAAAAGCAAAAACTTATATTAATCTGTCTTATCGGACTGAAAATATAATACTAATTAAGAATAAAGTGTTTATTACTTATAAGAAAAAATATAATACTTTTACATTTTAATTTGAAAGTATTACATTTTTACTCTCTCTTAAAAATAACAAATATTTTATTTCGGATTAGTATTACATTTTTCATTATAAAATTAAAGTTCTATCTTAACGCGACCCGTCTTACGAATAAGGATATTTGAAGGGTAAAAATATTTCTTAATATAACTTATTGACTAACTACCCAATGAAATAAATTATCACACTGTTAAGCATATATAATATATAAACATAAATATATAGTCCAACTATTAGAGCAGTCTTTTAATTGAGAAGAAGCACATGCTTCAATTTTATATTAAAATCAATATTTCTAAAAATATAGTGTATATTTTATGATGACACAAGATTAAGTTGAAAATGTTAAAAAAGGGAAGGGAGTTGAAAAAAAAAATGTATATATATAATATAATGCATGGCAGGTGACATGGGTGGAACATGCAGAATACGATGAGAGCGAGGTCCACCAGCTTTACCGGGCGTTGATCGGCGCCGGGATGGGGTTCGGTGCACAGCGGTGGATCGCCACGCTCCAACAGCAGTGCGAATGCCTGGCAATACTCATGTCATCGGCCTTGCCCACAAGGGATCACACAGGTAATTCATCACTTAATTGGTAGGTTTGAATGAATGAATGGTTGTGATTGCTAAGAATGCATAGCTTCACATTAAGCTAGGGCCTAGGAACTAGGAACTTATTTTGAGAACATTACCAAACAGAGCTTATAACTTATTAGTAGTTTAAAACAAAATTGAAAAAATCGCTAGGCCCCCTTTAAGCGCATGGGGGCAGGCTAGGGCGCCTAAAGCAATTAATTCGCGCCTAGAGCGATTAATCCGCACCTAGAGCGCCTAGCACCTAGGTGGATGCCTAGGGCGTCTAGGTGAATGCCTAGGGCGCCTAGGTGGCGGAGCGCGATTTTTGCAACGCTAGTTTAAAATAAGCTATAAGCTTTTAAATAAGTTTTGTCAAACAGAGCCATAATCTGTTTGACTAATTACTTTTAAGTATTTTGTCCAATTAAAACCTAATCAACTTACAATACTTAATCTAGGTCCTAATATATAATATATTATACGGAAAAGTCTTACAAGATTCACCTGGCGCAGCTATTAGTCCGAGTGGGAGGAGGAGTATGCTGAAGCTGGCGCAGCGCATGACGAATAACTTCTGTGCTGGGGTGTGCGCTTCCAGTGTCCACCAGTGGAACAAGCTTTGCGCCGGGAATGTGGACGAAGATGTGCGGGTTATGACTCGGAAGAGCGTGGACGACCCCGGTGAGCCCTCCGGCATTGTTCTCAGCGCCGCCACCTCCGTTTGGTTGCCCGTTTCGCCGCAGAGATTGTTCGACTTCCTCCGCGATGAACGCCTCAGGAGCGAGTGGGACATTCTCTCCAATGGCGGTCCTATGCACGAAATGGCGCATATTGCCAAGGGCCAAGACCATGGCAACTGCGTCTCCCTCCTCCGTGCCAGCGTAATCATCTCTCTCCTTCTCTTTCAATGCACCCATCTTTATTTATTTATTTTTATTATAAGGGAACTCCAATCTCCTCTTGTGACCTTAGGACAAAGAATTACAAGGAAGTAAATCACCCACCGATTGATTCAAACTAAAAAGACTGAGATTCAAACTCGTGATTTCGTGGTTATAATTTTTTTTTTTTTTTCTAAAAAATTATTTGTTTAGGCTGGCGGAGATTAATGTTTGAAACTTGGCATGTATTATGTCGGGCACATCCCTCGTGTCAATAGCTATTGAGTTACCATAATTTACATAGTCTCGGGTCGAGGTGTGAGGACCTTGGGGTTGGATACTTAACTTTTTAAAGAAGCTGATGAGACTTGATCTTTGATCTTTTATTACAAATCTCTTGTCCCAAAAGGTTGAATCCCCAACTCAAAGGCTCCCCACACTCCGACCCAACAGAGCATGTGAGAGGATGTAAATCACGGTGACTCAATGGTTCAGTAGACAGGGCCAAATGCCAGTGCACACAAAGAATTTGCCCACTTTAGATATAATTCCTACACTGCCTCCGCCGAAGTTCGAACATTGGTCTCTTGTCCCAAATCTCACCCATGTGAACGGTCGACTTATCCATGGGGACATTATTATTTTTTATTTGTTTAAGCCGCAGAGGTTCAACTCACCTTAAAAGTTGATCAATATGGTTTTTCTCAAAAATGGTAGTTGGTTAGTAATCTCTATTATATTATGATTATGAGTAGTGAATTTGAAATAAGCATCATCACCGCTGGGTATAGTAAAAGTAGCGTTTTCATCAAATAGGGCTGAAACTTGAAGATGGTATGACATATCATGTGTGGTCTGACTTTTTCAGATGGAAAAAAAGGGGTGATTGTAAAGGACAAATTTGGAATTTGGAAGTATCTCCGGGGACATTTCATTTCAGATCTGTAAAATCTGTCACATTTTGCATTTTTGTAAAGATGCAAAAGTCAAAATACATGACACTTGTGACCTTTATGGGTCAGCCTACTTTTTCACGAAAAAAGTCATGGGTTGACCCAGTTACAGCGTAATAAAATTGACGTGCGATGGCAGTTTATGTAAATACGTAGAAAAGTGAGGTTCTTTTTGTTTTGTGGGTGCAGGCCATGAATTCCAACCAGAGTAGCATGCTGATATTGCAGGAGACGTGCATAAACGCGGCGGGGTCGCTTGTGGTGTACGCGCCCGTTGACATTCCGGCAATGCACGTGGTGATGAACGGAGGAGATTCTGCTTACGTGGCGCTGCTCCCGTCGGGATTCGCAATCGTGCCCGATGGCCCGGGCTCCCGCGGGCCCACGTCGGGGACGAATGGTCCATGTAGCAACGGGGACCCGTATCAACAGAGGGTGAGCGGTTCGCTCTTGACCGTGGCATTTCAGATCCTCGTCAACAGCCTTCCCACGGCGAAGCTCACGGTGGAGTCGGTGGAGACGGTCAACAACCTCATCTCCTGCACCATTCAAAAGATCAAGGCTGCCCTTCACTGCGAAAGTTGATCCCTCAGCCAATATGATAAGAGATTCATACTTGTAACCACAAGGTTACGAGTTTAAATCCTTGCGCTCTTGGTTTGAGTCGGTCAGCTATAGATAATTAGGCTCGTTTACTTCTTTATTGTCCTTTGTCGACTAGGGTCAATAGGTGGGGTTTACTCATACTCGAAAGGGTTTTATGATTTCCCTCGTCATCTAAAAAAATGGGAAGGCAATTTAGGAAGTGAGTCAAGAACGAAACGGGATAAGAAACCCCCCTTGCACGGTGGTAAGCGACGCCACGGACGACCTTCACAGGGTGGTGTGGGTTCTTAACACAATGCAAGGGTGGTGGTTCGGGTATTGACTAGGACTACCCTTCAGCTGGATGGTTCAACAACTACTACTAAGCTTTTGTTTCACTAAGCAATATATATATATATATATATATATATACACACACTTTGACAATGTACGTATTTGGTTTTCAATTCAACACTAACTTACAGCTAACTAGCTCCTGCTTCTTGAATTTTAATCCTTTAGTATTATAGTTGAGCTTTTTATTATTAAATAAATAAAAGCGCTCTCAATTTTTTTTTATTATATTGTATAAAATTTAATAAATAAATTACACACATTTTTTTAGTATATCTCTCCCCACCATTAGTCCCTGTGCCTTTAATATGCACTATAAAAAGTAAAAACAATGTTGTTTATTCGGGCCAATCCTGGTCATGTTTATATAGGGTCTGGTTCCTGCATGAATAGTGCTTCATGTCTGGTCACTCACCATTAATTATTCAGAATTGTATCATAAAGTGTTAGAAAATGAATTATTCAGTGTTTTACATTTTGTATTTTTTTTTTGGTGTGTAGTGCATTACTGCATTTTCGTTGTAGTGTATTTTTGAACACCACGGCCACAACCACTTCTTCAATCAACATCTTGGTTTCAACAAGATACTTAATGGAGGGTTTTGTCACTCCTTGGAGTATGTATTTGAGTCAACAAACTGAGAGCTCTAGCTTTTGTAGAGGATGCTAAGGTTGATTCAATTGCATCTCAAACTATCTTAGGTGTATCATGGCCAACGGCTAAATAAATAGTTTCCCCTTAGAGAGACAAGACAATCATGCCGATGATCGATTGATCATGTTGTTCCCAAGAAAAGTATGCTAGATTTGCAACGAGCTGCTATATATCATGCTACAGTTGCCAAAAAGGGGGTGGAGGAGAGGCAACGTGACGTCAACGTAGCCCAATAAATAAATAATTTTTAGAATAAAGTTCAAATCGGTCACTGAACTTAACCTGAAAATGTAATTAGGCCACTAAACGAAAAAATATATATAATTAAGTTACTGAACACTCCAAAAACGTACAATTAAGCCACTGAACACGCTAAATGTATGCAATTTCACCGGATAGCAGGTTACCATCAATTTTAGAAGGTTACTTGCTTATGTGACAGCTGAGTTGGCATTTTAAATCATTTTTAATAATCAATTTAAAAAAAATTGAAAATAAATTAAATACAAAAATAAAAAATAAAATAAAACGACGGGCTACCTGTAGTTTTTTTTTTTTTATTAAAATTTATTAAAAATTATTAAAAATGACAACTCAACTGCCACGTAAACAGATAACCTGCTAAAATTGTTGGTAATCTGCTAAAATTGATGGTAACCTGCTATCAGATGAATTAAAATTGTATATATTTGGAGTGTTCAGTGGCTTAATTGCACTTTTTTTCGTTCAGTGAACTTCAAGGACACAAAGCTAGTGGTGTGCTTGTGAAAGAGTGCTTGTAATAGCAGCTAGAGTAGAACTTGAAACGACAATATCTGTATTAATGGCATCTTTGACAGTCCTGCTGAGGATGAATAGCCTTGGTTGACAACGTTGATCTCCGGAGAGGTGTTGTTTTGATGGGTCGCCATGAAATTCATCAGAAAAAGGAGGACGGAAGACAACGACAATAGTAAAAACAAAAGGGTTCAAAATGTGCAATCCATATTTAAAACAGATACCATATGAAAGTATGTAGAAAGAAATTTTCCGTATATTGATGATTTGATGACGCAATGATATGTATACGTATATATACGGAACCTGTATAGGCCCTAATAGGAATACAAAAGTAGGATGAAGGAAACTCAATCACTGTGGTATATGATACATCGTGATACAAATAGTATTCCTAATATTGACCAATGTATACAAGCCGCCAATTTTGTGATGATCAACGTAACATCTCTAAAGTAAGGATACAAATGAAATGAAATTTTGATAAAGATAACAAATTTTTAAATGCTAAAAGTGTATAGTGCAAAGCTATAAAGTGCATATGATAATATGTAAAACTGTAACTATCTTGAGTGCAATCTTATATATAATCAAATGCACTTCATAGACATTATCAGACATGTTATCACATGTATGTGTATATATATATATATATATATATATATATATATATATATATATATATATATAGGTTCAGGTGCGGTGGGCGATCTAAGGTGCGGTTAAAACAAAGTCATTGATTATGCTTAAATCAACGTTCAAGATTACCAAAATTTTTTTAAAAAAATGCGGTGGCATTTTTGTAATTTTTGTATCTAGGTCAAAATTAAGGTGAGTGGTTTTGTGATTAAGGTGCGTGAGTTTTGTATATAAGGTGTGTGAGTCTTGTGCATAATGTGCATGAGTTTTGTGCTTAAGGTGCGTTACGTGGGTTGTGTACTTATTAATGGTAGTAGTTGTTGAAACTTGAGGTGTGTGAGTTTTCTGCGGCTTAAGGTGCATGAGTTTTGCGTTTAAGGTGCGTGAGTTTTGTGCTTAAGGTGCGTGAATTTGTCCTTAATGTGAGTAGTTCCTGAAACTTAGGTGCGTGAGTTTCCTTCTAAATGTGCGTTGCTTTCATACTTAAGGTGCGTGATTTGTATGCTTAAGGTGCATCAGTTGTGTACTTGTGTGAAACTTAAAGTGAACCATTTTTAAAGCCTTAGGTGCATGGTTTGTGTTCTTAAGGTGCTTTGTTATGTGCTTAAGGTCCGTGGTTTGTGTTCTTAAGGTGCGTGATTTGTGTTCTTAAAGTGTTTTGTTTGTGTGCTTAGTGTGCTTGTGTTGTGTACTTAAAGTGCGTCAGTTTAATGCTTAATGTGCGTCCAACTGCACAACCGCATGGGAAGCCATTCCCGCACTTGATCCCTTCCCTATATATATATATATATATATATATATATATATATATATATATATATATATATATATATATATATATATATATATATATATATATATATATATAATCAGAATGATACACGACTGATTTAAAGGAACAAACCACACGTTTTAAGAAAATAAATCGCTTTAAAATATTAGATAATATATGGTTAGGGGTAAATCAGTCTTATTAGAAGCTGTGCATTCCTATACAGAATATCGTGCATTCCTATACCGTATGTCGTGCATCGAGTACTCTCTAGTTGTGCATTCAAACATCCCAAAAAAATCCTACGATGAACACCTCAATGTCCTACTACGTACCACACTAAGTGCACTAAAGCACATATCACCAGCCTACAATGCACAACTCACAACATTGGGTTGCACAACTTACAACATTGGGTTGCACAACTGTACCACCCAGACATGTGTACATATACATCAACATCCATATATAGGCAATATTATACTTAAAAGAATGAACGAAAAAAAAATATTGATCACTTTCTATGGACGAACACTCGATCGATGATGAAGAAATCGCAGCTCCAAATCAAAACGGTATGGTGATGATCCAAGAAAATAGGAAACAAATTTGGCGAATGATTACCTATGCGTTCACACTTACAAAATAGAAAAAGACACTACTATCCTCCCTTTAACCAAAAAAAAAAAAGATCAATGCACGTCATCTTAGAAAACTAAATATGGGTCATCTAAATAAAAATTTAAAAAAAAAAAAAAAAAAAAAAACTAGACACACATATGTGGGTGTGTAGGGAGGGAAAAAGGGTAATAATATGTTTTTAATTATTACAGTAGGATAGAAAATGTAAATAAAAAGAAAAGGTAATTCGAAACAAATATGATAATAAAGTACAAAAACCTTGAACCAAACACCTTTTTACTATACATTCATTTTGTAAGAATTATGCTTTAAATTTGTTTAAATCAAAAGTCAACAACATAACCTACAAATGCAACGTTTAAAGAGAAATGAAAGCACAACATAATGTTAATCCCTATTTTGATACAAAACTTGTGAACTAACACCTTAATTGTGTGTGATTGAAGTTCCCAAAAAATAAAAAATAAAAAATAAAAAATTGTGTTAATGTGTTATAGAAAAGCAAAGGGTGGACCAGACGGCCAGCTTGACGGCAGAGACGAATGGAGAGGAGTATTAAATATTTAAATGAGAGGGCAGAAGCAGTTGTGTACGTGAAAACGTCGCCATGCATTTAATGCAAACCTCATTTGGTGTCACTGAAAAATTGACTAATATTGAACAGATGAATTTTAATTAATTGCAAAATATTTTGATTTCATTAATTCAGTTTTAAAGTCTAAATAAACCGATTTCATTAATTTAGTTTTAGCTTGGCTAGTCGAGGTTCGAACATTAGTATTTCTTACAAATACTGTCTACTGAACCAGTGCGGACAGTCCATGCATGTTTTAATAACACATTATGTTGAATTTCTCCCACGCTTGTTTGATAAGGGAAATTTCTTTGGTACATAATCTCATTATGTATTGTATTTTTTTTTTTTATAGAATTTTTTTTTTAAATGTGAAACATAGCACTAATTAGCGCTAATCTATTGGATGAGGAGTATATGTTGTGAACAAACACGGTAAAAATAATGTATTGGAGGAGGGGTTATTCTGCAGGGTTCTGGAATAGGGATAAGGAATGATGGAATTGGTTTGGCATTTGCGTTTCAAACAACAAAATGGCGTTTACTGATAAGGATCGTTCGATCAGTAGGGATTGAGGTATATGGCTTTCAAATGGGCAGAGTAGAGGAGTATGGATACTGGATAGTATAATGGTTTGCATGCAAGAGCGAGTGATGGGGATTGGAGCAATGTGGATTCGGATGAGAATTGAAAAGTTTGAAGTTATAAATCCGTCCATGTTAATTAGATCAAGAAATAGAATTTTTGATAGGGACTAGGGGAGGACCGAGGATATACTACAAATTTAATTTATTTTTATTTTTTATTTTTATTTTATTTTGTCCTTTACAATCTGACAGAATAATGGGACAGACACCCGATCCGGAACCACCCGAAGAAGACCAACGGTCATGTAACGGAAACATTGACTCCAGCACCGGCTTATTCAAGATGGGATAATTATGGTGAATAATGTAGGCTCGGCTCCTCGATCATTAGTCATTACTATGGGACCGTTACTAAAGCAGAAAAACGTTGGAGGCACTAATATAAGTAGGAGACCCTTCGTTAAGCAAGATACGCTCAATACTTTTGTATTGAAACTCTTAATCAAGTCTGATTACTTTCTACAATTATTCTGACAACTATATTTACCGTCACAATCAACTTCTTCTTCTTCTCAC